AAAAGTAGTCACTGGTGTTCTCAGACTTGCAGTAATATAGCAGATTATTTCCACAAATACTGTGTAAACTTTAAAAATTATGCATTTATTTCTTTCTTCCATGTCTTCACACTAAAAAAAATTAAAAATAAAGCCAAGGAAACAATAATTAAAATAGTGTGATTCTTATGAAATCTGATATAGTTTAACTAAATCTTTCCCTGTCCTTTCTGCTAAAATGTTACAAAACAGAGAGATGTGTAAATACAAAGTAGAAAGGAAAATATTTAAACTAAAATAAAGCAGACCTTTTCTTCTGGCTGAAGTATTTTTGTTTTGGGTTTTTTTTTAATGATTTTTGGTAACTTTGGAAATACCTCCGATACCACTCACATTCTTAAAATACTTAACCATTCCATTCAATGGTAGCAACATTATGCATTAGGTCTGTATGTCTAAATTACTTGTTCACCTGTTTAAACATGACCTGTGGGCAAATGGGGACCATTTCCATCTGATGCTATAAGCAAAAACATTGTTCTATTTAATTACTAATTTCTATTAAAAAAAAAAAAAAAAAAAGAAAAAAAAAAAGTATGGTGGATCTGGTTTCATTCCAGTTCCTAGAAAGTGAGATTTTGCATTGCAATCTCACATTTGGCATAGGCTGGCATATTTCTTGGCACAAACCCAAGGTTTAATGAGGCTTAAGAGAGTTTTACAGCCTCCATAATCAGAGACTAACATTGAGCTTGCTGCTAGATGTACACAAGGCGTGTGGTTTGTGCACCCCACACTCCAGGAGAATAAAATAAAACAACATTCTATTGCTGACTTCCACATCACTAAGGCTACATAAAATCCATGCCAGTTTGGGCAGCAGAGGTTCCCTGGGGAGATGGAGCCCATCTTCCTGGAAAGCTGTGTTTGTGCCCATCTCTGTGGTGCTGTGTGTGAAAGGATTGCTGTGCTTTACTCCCTGCTTGTTTCTGAAGCACAGACACCAAATCTCTCTGCCTTTGCTCTCAACTTCCCCATAAACAGCTTTCTGAGACTGAATCCTTATGCCAGCAGGAAAGAGGAGGAAAGCATATTATTTCTTGCACTCTCCCACCAGGGATCCTAAATTAAAAGCTTGACAGACCATCCTGGGCTTGCTGAAAGAAGCCCTGCTAGGCTGGAAATCCAGGGATGGCAGAGTGCAGGCAGAACTGCATGCAGAGTCTCACGTGTCATGGTTTATTCACAATTTATCAGTTATGAATTCAGTGCTTTGAACTTAGGCTTGCATGCCAGGGCTGTAGCTTACCAAACCCTGCAACATAAAGATAGCTCTTGATTATGTTGAAATCATTCTTGATTATGTTGAATGTTCAGTAATAAGTGGTTATATGAGTCTGCAAAAAGGAAATTATATTTTGGGAAGGTCCTGCTAAAAATTGCATTAATTTCAGTAACAAATGCATCAAACATCCTTATAAGATGTCAGCCAAGGAAGACACTTAGGGTCTTCCCTCTACATGTTAGAGATTATTATATTCCTTAGTCTTAGAGAGTCAGGCTGTTTTCAACATCATGCTTCCAGTGAATTTGAAATTAAGGAGTGATGAAAGTTTGAGGTCGAGTGATTAAATAAGATGTTCAGAGGACTACCTGATGAATCTAGCTCATTTATCCAGCCTTGTGCAGGCTGGACAATTTGGTTATAATAGGCTGTGAGATAACTACGCCTCCCTTGATACCCTGTCTCTAACAGCTGGAATTGTTTTGTTCTGGTGAGAATATTTAGGTTTGTTACAAAGGCTTTTGTGATGTCAATGATAGATATTACACAAATATTTTGTTGTTTCTTCTGTGAGAACATGACTTTTTTTTTTTATGGTGGATTAGAAAGATAATTAAAGAGTAGGACTTAAACTGTCTAATTGTCAGTAAGCTGTGTACAGAGAAAACTCCCACTCATTGGGATCTCCAAAATGTGCAGTTCAATAATAAGCATAATTCTGGAAAGATATTTCACTGAAGCTTTTATTTCTTTGTTAAAGCAACCCATGCTCTAAGATCAGATTTCTTACAGTAGGGATCAAGTTGGTGTTGGTTTTATCCCTAAGGAAAGGCAAAATTCACAACTGATGAAGTAAAACTATGAGCAAAGATTATTTTTGTATCATTAAGGATAAAAGTTACTTGTTTATTGTTTTATTGTCAAATAAAATTTTTAATATTTAGAGATCTGTCTGTACCATCATTCTCTATATAAGTTTTACTGCTTTCAATGTTTGTTTAAATTCTCAAAGCATGGAATAGAATTGCTCTGAATGCCAGTAAATGTCTACTTCATTTTTTGCTAAAAACTTTTGTTTGAGAGCGATGAAAGGGAATGTGAAAGACCATACAGTATCTTTGCAGCCACTGCCTTCTTCAAACAACAACAACCAGATATTAAATCTTTAAAAAAACCAAATTTTCTTGGGTGATTGTGTGGTAAATTTTGTTGAATGAAAATAAAATTTGATTGGTTATAAATTCCCTCCCTATTTGCTTGAGTAGCCTAGAGAGTGTAATAAACTGTAAGCTTCAGCATTAAAATAAATAAAACTAATAAATCAGTGTGAGAGTATTTATTTCACAACTTTCCTTCCTCTTATAAATGGTGTTGAGTTTCCATAGTCTAATAACCTGGCATAAGGTATTCTTTGCATCAGCAACTCGATGGAGGCAGTTTATCTTTCAGGAGCCTTGGAAAGAATAATACCATTTCAAAGAGGTTGAAATTCCAAGAAAATAATGGATTTTGATAAATGAAAGTGGTGGAAATCTGTTTCTGTCTTTGTCTCTTGTTGGAAAGCAATGATCATGATCATGATGATCTTTTACATCAGCCATGGTGTTCTCATTGTCACCACTGTCAGTCAGTGGGGCAGTAAGGAGGGACATTCTGGTGTGCAATCACTGTGCTCACATTTACCCCGTGCTGAGTGGGAAACCCTCCCAGTTTATCTGTGCTTTCCTGGTGTATCAAATGTACAGTTAGGAGAAGGTTCAGTTTCACCTTACAGCTGCCAAGTGTTATGGTGAAAGTTAATTGTGCCCCGGGAAGAGGATGAGCATGAGTGCCTGAGACTGGTGGTGAGAATTTCAGAGGCCAAAGGTACTGGGTGTTAATAACACTGTGCTGGTGAGTCTCCCAGGGCCTGGGACAATCCTAGCTAAAAGCTTACTGGCAGGAGTTCTTTAAAGTGAAGAAAAACAGTTGATTTCTCAAGCACCAAAAAAAAAAAGACCTCTGAAAGTACTGTGAACAATTTTCATGTATTCTTAACAAGTTCTTTTTCAGTTTTTTAGGCACAGAGTGTAAATCTTGATTGTATGTTTATCTTTTGTCAAGGCACAAGACAGATACTATTAAATACTATTTGTTGGTTTTTTTTTATATTACCATAAATAACTGCATGTAGGAAACTTAGCTCCTAAAAGCTGTCTCACATCTAAATTAATTAGAACATAATTACCTTTCAGTAACGAGATATTTTTCATCTTCCTATGAAACTAGTTAACAATGATAAAAATTTAATTGGACTTATGTATCATGTTTATCAGTGGAAATTATATTCTGATAAGTGTTCTTTCAATCACTAGTTCTCTACTAGACAGGTATGAATCCTAGGACTTCAACTTTTGCCTCCTATTAAAAATGGCTCTCCACATTATTTAAAAAAAATTGCTTTCAGCTAAATATATGTTTTGCAGAAGGTGCATACTTTAGGCACACTTCTTTTGGTGCATTTTTTAATATAGAACATATACAGAAATTTTTCTGTTTTGAGAGTTTTGTTTTATAAAATATCAATCGCTTCAGACAACTAATTTTGCATAAGACATCTACTGTTTTCCATAGGGAATGAGTAAGCAAAAAACTTTACTTTTAAAAAACCTTTAGCAACAGTGACAAGCCATATTGTCCCAGATGAAGTTTGCAGCTGAGAACTGTGTGCTCAGATTTTACATTTATGAATATACATTATAGCAGAGCTCATTTCCATAAGTACGGTGTATTTGCCACCCTTTCAGAGTCACAGGGAACACAATTCAATCCTAATATTCATGAGGAAAGAAAGCATAATTAGATGTTAAATATTTTAACAAAGACAAATTGATTATTAAGGTTTTATTTTTCCACTCTCACCTCTTGAGAAATCGCCCTTCTGTAATTACTGAAAAGTAAAACAATCTGACTGGAGGCCAAAATATATTGGCCAAGCAAAGATGGGAAGGCTGAGCTTTCTTGAAGGCAGCAAGTAATACTTATATTGCAGTTGCTTATGCTATTCCTGTAACAGGCCTGATCCTGCACTGCTGAGATCAAAGGATGTTTTCACTTCACTTTATTGAAAAAAGTTTTATGTGGAAGAATAGAGCTCCTTCTACAGTTCTGTTAGTTTGGTCCAAACCTGTAAACAAACAACTGAATGAACAGACACATTTAGGCTTGACTGAATTATTTTTTTCTTTTAAGTAAGCCACACATGATGATGAAGGACAAAGTGAAATTTGACCTTGAAAATGATAAAAACCTTTTCTTAGTGAAGCTCCCTGTTAGGAAAAGGAACTAAAATGTTCTTATGTAGTTCTTATTGATCTTGTGGGTTTTCTGCAGTCATAAACTTCAGAATGTATTGAACACATTGATTAATTTAATAAATTATGTTCCTTAAAAGCCAAAGCTGTAAATAATAATATCCATTAAAATAAGAATTAATTAGATGAATGAATAACAGCACTGCCTGATTTTTATGAGCTATGTCTATCTACTTAATGTACAAAATAATTGTATTTTAACTGGGAAAAGAAACTTTGTTTTACCTCAGCCATTGTATTATTATCTAGTGTTCAGTGAGGCTTGTTCTTCCCTCTCTGGCTCCATTTGTGCCCAAAGATATCTTTATTTAGAAAGAATTGCAGCTGAGAAGCAAGAAACGTGAGAGAACTGCTTTACTATGCTACTGTTTTTACTATTTCAGAGCTGCAAGAAACTAAGACCTCTGAGTATCACAGGATATCCCACAGCCCCCTGGATTACAGGATATTATTGATGGATGAAGATCAGGATCGGATCTATGTGGGGAGTAAAGATCATATTCTGTCTCTGAATATTAACAATATAAGCCAAGACCCCCTCAGTGTAAGTTCAAGTTTTATTCTGAGAATCTGAGGTTGCTTTACTCCATGCCTTTCCTTTTAAGACAAAAAAAATAGCATTTGATTATTTTACACTAGGTCCATGCCCACACCTTATTGAATTTTTAGCCCTTGTTTTATGTGTAATGCAGATGAAACTATACACTGTTCCTCAAACACTGTTTAACACTGACCTATTTACTCATTTTGAAGCAATATTCTGCTTGCCCTGGCCTCACAAGGAAAATCTGTGTGTTTGACACTTTCCACCTCTCTCCAAGAGAATATGTTTCAGAGATGCACTTTGAGAAGAATCCTCAAGGAAGAAGAATATACACAATATCATTCTCACCCCATACAGAAAAAAAAAAGCAAGGACAGAGTTGTCCTTAATCTTATACTACATTTTTTATGTTTTGTGCTCTGGAGCCTAATTACTGAACTATATTCCAATCTTCTGTTATGTCTGTGTCAGCCTTTGCCCTTCAGTTGGGTAGCTGAGACACTTTGTTTGGGTTTTTGGGCACCATGATGCACATCTACCCCTTGGCACCACCTGTTCTCTGGCTTCTCTCACTTACTGAGAAGGTGTTTTCCAAGGACTTTGTGTTCCTCACCAAACAGTAGTAGGCAACCTCTGTGTGAAAATAATGTTACCAAATGCTTACAGATTCCTCTCTTGTCTCCAAAGCCAGTTGAAATTCAGCCTCTCTGCTTTTGAAATGGGTGACCTGCAGAAGTTCTTGTGTGCAAAGGAGCTTGGCTGTTGAGCTATTACCTTTCTACAGGCTTTATCTTGCCTGTCTTTAGACTATCACAGCTACTGCCCTGCCTGAAAGTGTACCAGAAAGGCCTTGTTCCACCAAATCCATCCAGTCCTTTAATCTGTGGGCTTTATTACTGTACCTTAGAAGGGCTGAGGGGCAGCAATACCCGCTTGCAGCAGGGAAGATAAATGCCTTCCTTAAGAGACAAGGCTTTTAATGTGTCAGAGGAGAGGGAGGGGCCCTGCCAGAGAGTGATTGAGCACAGTTAAATTAGGCTTTGCTCTGAATCACCCTCTGGACATGCCTGTCCACCTGAATTGATTGTTCAGGGAGCCCAGGGAGGCTCATTCTAACTTACACATTTAAATTAAATGCCTTTCGTTCAATGGTGTGAATGCACCCTTCCCTCCTCCTAATGGTATCCAAATCTCCTTCTGAAATGGGGCTGCCTTCTAGGATCTGAAATACCTTCTGTGACCTTTTTGCTCATTTCCATCTCAATCTGATCCAGCCACCCTGGTCTGGCAGGAGCTGGTGTCCCTCCTGTCCTTGGCAGGTTGGGTTTAATCCTGTGCTGAGTTTGGTTAGATAGGAGGGTATCTGTTACATGAAATATTTTCTGCAGTATAAAGCTGTGAGGCATTTCAACAGCTTATGTAGGCCTGGAGAATAAAGAATAAAAGAAAATCAACAGAAAGGAAAAATACACAAAGCTTTCTGGCAGTGAATGTGATCACCCAGTAGTAGGATCAGAATGAATCTCTGCAATTCCACACAGTCTTTCCATTTGTTTATTTAACAACAGATTCACTTTGCTGATCTTATATCTCTGTAGAAATCCTATATACATATACATTCAAATTCACAGTTCTACATATATATATATGTATGTGTGTACATATATACACAGAGATCTTTTAATGATATTGTTTATGTTATCTTGAGGCTAAATGTTATCAGGCTCTGTCACTAGATTTCTGGGGATAAATTTGTAATGGATATCTTTCCTATTTCAAAATCAAAATAAATAATGGAAGAAGCTCAAAATATTTGCAGTTTGAGATAAACAGATAGGCATTCAGACATTGAGTTATTTCTTTAAAATCTGTCTGAAAGAAATCAATGTGAAATCTTGAGATTTCAGGTAGGTTTTTCCATAATCTAGCCAAACCTTTGATGATAAAATTGAAAAATTGAAAAAAGAACCCTTCTTTCAATATTTTAGTCTTCTGGTTTCTAGTGTGAATAGTTTCTATAAGTTGAGTAAAAGTAAAAAAGTAAAGATGGGTAGTAATTTAGGCAATGGTGGTGAAAAATCTCTCTTATTTAGAAGAAACTAATCTAAATTGATTAATTTGCCTTAAAAATTTTTAATAAACTTAATATATATCGGCCAAAGACCTGGCCCCTGATTTTGTTTAGTGCACTCTAAGAAAAAGATAGTTTTATTTATCAACAATTTTTTTTTTCCTTATAATCAAGTGTAAATTATATCTAGATATTAATCTATTAGTGTACATTAGGCAGTGAAATTTATTTTTTAAATTATGTAATAAATATAGTACTTGAACAATATTTCTTTCCTTACAGATTTTCTGGCCAGCCTCAGCAAACAAGGTTGAAGAGTGTAAAATGGCTGGCAAGGATCCTACAGTAAGTTATAATCCACATGCACTCACACAGACAAATTAGGTACTTGGCAATAAAGTAAGAGCACCTTGAGTGCAGCCAAAGCAAAATGAAAAAAGCGTTTGGTTTTCTTTTGAAATCCTTTGCAAGCCAATCTATAAAGTGAAATTCTGGAAAATCAGGCGATGTAAACAGAATGCACCTTCAGACTCTGGCAGATGGGAGCAGATATGCAGTGTCCATTTCCTCCCTTTTTTGGTTGTTACTAATCAAAGTAGGTAATAGTGTTTTTCCAGGTATGTGCTGGGGTGATGTTGCACAGCCTGTTGAGCTGCTCTTCGCAATGGGGAAGTTCTCTGGCTGGCTGCACCCCCCAGGAGCACACTGTAAGGGTGGGTGGTACCACTGCCTGCAGTCTGAAAACCCCAGTTGTGCACCCGTTTTCAGATTATTCTGTATGGTGCTGGCTCCTGCTGAACCAAAAATGTGAATGCCTTTAAAAGTAAATAAACCAGTGGAGTCTGCTAAACAAGGATTAACTCTACTGATTTTCATGGAGATGACTGATGGCAGTTTCCAACCCTGTGCTCATAAAACATATGCAGTTCTCACTTTCTTGAGTGAGGTTTGGATGGTTGAATATGAAAGCAGTTCTGGGATCTGGGTAAGAAAATGTATTCATTAAAAAAATCTATTTTCAACCTAAAGTGCATTAACACTTCATCACAGTAAAAAAATGAAAGAGTTAGAAAAAAAAGGGAAGGAAAAAAATGTAAATCCAATACTGTGAACTGTGTGGCCCTTAACATTCTGGTTTAATTTTCATGCTGATTTGAAGATGTTACTGGAGGTCTTCCATGCAAAGCAACAATTGACTGCAAACCTCAGTTTAAAGTTTTGGAAATAAATTGTTTATACAAATAGCAAAATATGATATTTGGACTTGCTTTCTTTTTAATTATCTCCATTTATGTGGAACAAATCAGGGAGAAAAAGAGACTGTTTCAGAGGTGTCCTTTAAGGAAACTTCCTAAGGTTACACTTTGGTTTCCTGTAGAGGTCCTGCTTCTTCTCATGCAGGAGAAATATGTGAATGAAAATTGGATTGCTGTGTGGAAGTAGGAGAGCTATGTGGACTCCTCTGTAACTCATCTGTGGTTCTCAATCAGAGAGGGCCCTGTTCCCAGAGCAGGCAAAATGACATGAAAAGAAACAGCTGTCCAAATCCAGCCTCAGTAGCTGTTTTCATGATGCTGTTAAAATTATATGTCATGTCTACTCTCTAGAGTTCCCATCATCTCCTAACATTTGCCCCTGTGGAGTGACTGTTCTCTGTGTTTCCTGCAGCACGGCTGTGGGAACTTCGTGCGCGTGATCCAGTCCTACAACCGCACCCACCTGTACGTCTGCGGCAGCGGCGCCTTCAGCCCCGTCTGCGTCTACGTCAACAGGGGACGCCGGTCTGAGGTAACTCTCTTCTCATTCTGCCCACTCACTTTGTGGCCCACCCTGCTGCTGTGAAGCAAAATCTCAAAGTTTTGAAAATGCAAGAATCAGTGGTCCCAGTAGGTTCCTTCACTGATGTTGAATAGTGTGGATGTGTTCGCGGGTCCCAGGACAAGGGAAGAGATGATTCTGACTCCATATTTCTTAGAAGGCTGATTTATTATATTATGATATAATAAATTTATATTAAAAATGCCATACTAAAGGTATACCAAAAGAATGGAGGAAAGGATTTCATCAGAAGGCTAGAAAAGGAATGAATAATAAAAACTCGTGACAGACAGAGAGTCCGACACAGCTGGACCATGATTGGTCATCGAGTAAAAACAACTCACATGAGACCAATCAAAGATGCACCTATTGGTAAACCATCTCCAGACCACATTCCACAGCCATCAGATAGTTATTGTTTACATTTCTTTTCTGAGGCTTCTCAGCTTCTCAGGAGAAAATCCTAGCAAAAGGATTTTTCATAAAAATATCATGGTGACAAAATAGCAAAAGAGCAAAGGTCTGTAGTTTTCTGACCTGATACCAGCTAGAAGCAAAACCATACCTCAAACATGATGGTTATCCAACATATTATATATTTGTCCAATATATGGACAATATTTGTCATATATATATATATGGACAATATTTGTCATATATATATATATATACACACACATATATATGTGTCCAATATATGATGGTTGTCCACAGTCATACCAAATGCTAGGATACATTTGATAGTAGTTTTTATTTGACATTGGCTGGTGAATTCATTCCTGCGATTTGGTGGAAAAATGTCCAAGAAATACTTGAAAGGAAATAGCCAGTTAGATGAAAAGTAAAATACAAAGTCTACTTTTTATCATTTCCATGTGTTACTGGTTCCTTGGAGAAGCCCTTAATTTGGCTAGCTATTCAGGTTAGGTTTGCTGGAATTCAGCTTAACACCATCTAGTTGCAATCCCAGCCCAGGAACTTTTATCTACTGCACAAGTTTTGCCCCACTAGATGGTGCCCAGATGAAGTTGGTAAGTTTCCCTTCACTGTAAGATCTTACTTTTTCTAGGCAGGTCTCTAGTTTTTCTATATTCAGTTTAATTGAGTGTATTTTCAGTCTAAGTACCAGATGTTTCAGAAGTATATGGTCCAAGTTTCCTGATTTGAAAGTGAAATGTTTGTTTATGTGCAAATCTAATGGGTAATAAATTAAGCAATCAGAAAGAAAAAAGAAAGGCACTTAAGCAGGAGTCAGCACCTCAGTAGCTTTTGGGTCAGATACGTGTCTGCAGGCACAGGGGTGTGCAGGATATTTTCCAGAACAATGTGGAAGCAGATGTGTTGGGAAGGAAGATCAGAGCGTGTACCTGGAGTTTTGCCATGTGAGGGCAGCTTTAAAAGTTGGGCTGGCTTCTCGGGAAGACACTGAAAAATTCATCACTGATTTAATTGGGAGTGGGATGAGAATTCTGGCCAAGACCCAAGATTGCTGCAGAGGTTGCCAGGGAGGTGATTAGTCAGTGTTTCTCCAGGTCATTGTGCATGATATGATCTCAGTGACTTTTGGTAGGTCCCTACCTGGCTCCAGCTTCCTTAGCAGAGCATGCACTCAGAATCACTGCACTTTCAGTCCTATTAAATTATCTAAAAGTAGAGATTATAGGCCTGGATTTAAAAGCAGAAGCAAGCAGAACTAAATAAGTAAATCCATCCTTCTGGTTAAAAAATTCTGCATTGACTTATTTTGATGTATTATGAAACAGGGATCGCCTTTCCCCAGCATTATTCTATTTCTTGAAAAATCATTTAAAACATGAACGGTGATCTCATTTGTCTTTAATTAATGTAATACTCTTTATCATCTTAAGTACTGGTATTGCAGCCCAGGGAAGTTTGAATCTCATTATTTTAGACTGTTTGTAAATGAGATTGCGGACAGAGGGGAGGGCAGGAAATGACATCTCCAGATGATGCAAGATGTTAAATTTCTTAAATGAAAAGTAAAGATACATGACTTGGAAAAGCAGAACCAGCTTCACTTAGCCTGTCTGTGTAGCTGCATGCCTATGATCAATTGATTAAATAAACTGCTGTTTCAGACGTCTGGAGTCTGTGAGACACTTGACTGTAGGCACTTCATGCTCAAAGCCATTACTGTACAGGCCAACAATAGCATAACAGTTTAAACCCAAGAATTTCCTTCTGAACTCATTGCATATATCTGTGCATGACTAATTGATAGAGCAGTATGAGGAACTATGTAATGCTGATGGGACTAGTGAAAATTCATTTTTTCCTCTGCTTGTATCATTTCACCTTCAATTTGGTACAGTTTTCAATGCACAAAAGGTTGCTTTTGCACGTGCAAAATGAATATTTTAGAAAGCACATCTGTTTTTCTCTAGAAGCTACAAAGCCTGACAGAATCATATCCAAAAATCATAAGAGCTGGGCCTGTTTTGCTCTTCTGTCTCCAGGATCTCACATAAGCTCACAAAAAAATGGGGGTTTCATTGGTGAGGCAAAATTTTGCCCTTTTCCCTGAAACAGAGGTTATAAAACAATTAATTTTCTTCTTTGGCACACTTAATACTTTGGTGTTTGGTAATTACTGCCTTAGTCACCCAAATATATTCTAATGTCAAAGTAAATGCAAACAGAAGGAAGTGTAATCCCTATGTGAAATAATTATAGACTAAATAGTAGTTTAATATATATGAAAATCAGGTGTAATCCTGGAGCTAGTTTAGTAGAGGAGTAATGGGCATTTTGAATTGGTAAATAGTGGTTTAATATAGTAAACATGAATTAGAATCAAGCTGCATATAATCTAGAAGTCAAAAAAACCCAACAAAGAAAACCACCCAAGATCAGATTAGAAACTACATACTTATATTTTAACAATGTTTAGAAAGCTTATTACTGAAACAATAGATAAGATCTCTGAGATTAAATTCAGCAAAACAGGAGAGGGGGGAAAGAGAGGGAACAATCACATGAAAACTTCCTGCTGCAGCTGTGCATTTGAACTTGGTGCAATCTTCAATTCTCTGGTGCCAAATGGCTGCTTAGGGTCTTGTGTGGCATCCCCACTCCCCTGGGATTTACATTAACTGTTAAAGGGAATACAAAGAGTTGCTGTTCTTTCTCAAATTACTAATTGTTGGCATCTACCTCATAGAAGCCTTTCTTTGGAATTTTTGTCAGCTACGTTTTTCTTTTGAAATGTTTAAGTTTGGTTATTTGTTGTTGTTTTTTTGGATTTTTTTGTTTTGTTTTTTCTTGCAATTGTGTCTTCTGGCCTTTTTTGCTGAAGATTGGAAGTTTGTTGTAGGAGCCTAAGAACAAGCTGTTTAGTACACAGTGTGGGGAGTCAGTGTCTGTTGGGTCAGTTTATATCTGCCATTACTGACTGCAGTTTTTCAGGAATGAGCTTGGACCTGAGTCATTTCTTGCTGAGCACACTGTGTGTATTCCTGGAAACCAAGAAGTGAAGAGTTATACCAAAATGGGCAGATTTTTAAAAATATATTCAGATTGTTTGTATTTTAAGCTGTAGTCCAAATTGCTTCTACTTTGCTAAGTGTATTTCCTGTTCATAAAGTACATAACATATAAATAAATCCCTGTACCATGTTTTCTTAAAAAAAAAAAAAAAATCAGGAGATTTCAGGCTATCATACAGGTATAGATAAATCATCTCTCACTGTGGATTTGGAGCTCTACATGTCATCCAAGAGATGGTATTGAAGAAAATGAGTGTCATTTGTGGGATTTTTTGAGGTCTGATAACTCAGTAACAACCAAATGATTTATGCTGTAATCTAATGATAGTTGTCATAAGAGATTTTTATTTTATATGTATTATTGTTCTAGTAGCTTTATTATAATGTCCTAGACAGTTATAAGTACACCAATATATTCAGAAAATAAATGATAAATAACTTCAAAACCACAGAAGCAATCTCCACGGATATTATTGCAGAGATCAGTCAACCTATCCTTAACAGAGACAGAAGGAACATTTTTTTTTGGTTCAGTGTCTTGAATTTATAACCAGAGTCTTGATAATAACTGTGTGTCAGCGTTATCTAACAAGATGATGGAATTCTGAATAGAAGTGTTAAACTACCAATAGTACAGTGAAAGTGCCCAGTAGAGCACTGTTAACAGAGCATTGATAATGCTGTGAGCAGCCAGGCATAAAAACCAGCTCAGGTCTAATGGTTTCTGACATGAGAAGTGACACACAAATCTGCTTTGCAGGAACAAATCTTCAAGATCGATTCCAAGTGCGAATCAGGAAAGGGTCGCTGTTCTTTCAACCCTAACGTGAACACGGTGTCTGTTATGATCAGTAAGTAAAGATGCTCCAGGCTGCTGGGGTCCAAACCCATCTGGTCATATGGAGGGTGGGTTGATGGAATACCCAGGGGAGCTGGACACAGAATTCAGCCTCCCAGGAGCAGTACCTTTGTCTGGCTGATGGGCACAAGGGGTGGGCCCATCCATGTTTCAAGGCTTGTGTGAAGCTTAAGGTGGGTGAACAAATGAAGTGCAAGTATAAGTTATTGAAAGGGGGAGAGAGACACAGGAAACAAAAGGTTCTTCCCTTTCCAGATTACACATTTTTTCCCAGGAATAGTTTCAGCTTTACATTACCCTGTCTGGCATTTATATTTGAATGGTTTCTGACCTTGTTCATCCTAGACAGCACTTGTGTCGTATTTAATTATTTGTAAAATCTCAGAGTAGCCAGGGAAAGAAAGCCTGAAGACTTCAGATGCTTTGAATTTCATTTTTGTTGTCATTGCTGCTGTAGAGCCCACCAACTATTGTAAAACTCTTCATTCTTCAATTGGCTTTATACCCAAACAATTTTGCAATTTTCTTCCATCTGAAAGGCCACAAAGTGAATCAATAAAGGATTTCTTCTGTGCTTGTTGCATACCTACAAGAAAACTCAAAGGGGGACTACACTTTGTGCAGCCTAAGTTATCTGTAAAAGATACTTTCCATTTTTTCAACCAGGAAGAGCTGGAAATGCATACTCAGTGTAACCTGACCTTTCACATTTACAGTATGTTCACACACTTCTAATGCCAAAGCCCTGATTTTTCAACATGTGTCTGCTCCTTGCTGTATTTTTGGCTGTGAAGGGAACAGTTGCACAGATTTTTGAGACTTTCTTCGTAAATAAAACTTATTGCACACAGGTACTCTGCATTTCACCCAAGGTTTACCACGGAACAATGTGCCATGTTTCTGCCATTCAGCTTCCTCTGAAATCAATTACATCAATTACATATTGTGTGAGATACTTCCTTTAAAGTCTTGTAGATCTTAAGGAAAGTGTAATACAGACTGTCCTACATGGCCTGTTCAAAATATAAATTGCTTTTTGTTTTTTTTTTTTATTCCACATTGTATATATATTTAGTACAAAGGATAAGTATATCTATTCACAGAGATGTGAACTGAACACCTTTAGAGAACAGGTAAATGCTACTTAGACATCTCTCTGAACCTTGGCTTCACTTACATCTTTATCTCAACAGTGATCTGGGTACAGTGTTTACAGACACTCACTGTGTAAAGAAGATGTTTGTTCAAAGTCAGTGATAGATAAGTCCGCTGCTACTCATTGCCATTCTGGTATTATTAAGTGAAGTGACTGTTTCCTTTCCTTGTTCTTTCTGGATTTTATATAGCAACATTAAAGAGCATTGTTTCTGAATTACTGTTTGTACAGTAAGCTGATTTTTTTACTACAGTAGATATATGGCAGCTTTGTTCATCTTAATAGACTTTTCGTTATCTTCCTTGGTCTCTGTTATGTGACCAAGGAGACCTTCCCTAGAGTCTGACTTACCTTTCATAGCACAGTTCATGCACAAAGTTTAAATTATTCCATTAAGGTCAAATTCCTTTTGAAAAGAGTCTCCAGACTGAGTTTTATACTTTGTGTTGCAAAGTCCAGTCACTTCTGAAGGCTTAAGCTCTAGTGAATTTCTCCTCAGTATCCATGATAGAAACATGAACATTTTCTAAGTCTCAGCCCATGTTGTAGTGAGGGGACTGAGCCAATTTACTGGACTCACCTTTTAGCTTTCTGCAGGAGGAATTCCCTCCCATTGCTTCAGAAGATAGTAAATACCACCAGACCAACTAACTCTTCCAGAATAAAATAACCCTTTTTAAATATAGATGCAATTTCTTGACCATTTTGGGCATCACCGGCCTAGAATACAGCAGGAAAGCTGATTCACCCTTCAGAACAAAGTGGTGCTATAAAAATAAATTTGAACTTTGTGCAGTTTGCCATTGCACAGAGATGCATTTGCATCAACACAATAAAAAAAGTGCTTTGAAGCAGCTTGGCAATACTAGTGTGCAGGATGCATGTCTTTCTCCCTACCACAACTATGAAATATTTAGAAAAGCAGACATACCTCATCAATTCAGTAATTCCCCTCAGTTACAAAGTGAAGTAGAGTGAACTCATTGTGCTGTGCAGACCAAATACTGTGTGGAATTTAAGGATTTTACCAGAAGGAAGTGGAACTGATGGATCTCCCCTGATACATGATTAGCAAACAGACACTAGGAATGCCTAAGACATAAGTAATACTGTTAATATATAATAGGATTAAAATTACATAGTGTAGTACTGTTGCTGAAGTGCGTATGTACGTGTATATGCATGGGACTGTACATAACATTTAGTGAGAACCATAAACCTGATCTCTATTTGTGTCATAATAAGAATAAAGTTCTGATGAATTGTGGCAAGGAGGCAAATATACAAAATCATTTATAAATTGGTCCAGATCTAACATCATTCTGTCAATACCTGCTCTAGAAGTAAATGTTTCAGCAACATGCAGCAAATGCATTGCTTAAATCCCCTGTGTAAGAATCTTGTCATCATGGGGAGAGGTGAGAGCAGAAGAGTGGCTGCTGGATGCCCTGCCAGGGTTTAGTTCAGGCTCCAGTTAGCAGCAGAAAAGCAAAGTCTCCAGAGTTCTGATCCTCTCATGAGCTTCTCAGTAGTCTTCCATGCTGATTATGAACACACACACACACACACACACAGAGTGCATGAAAATAGCCTCAAGTATTTCTGAGCCTGTGACTCTTGCCAGATTGACCACACTCCACACTCTCTGGGTAGTCCAGGAGTACAGACAAAAACATCAATCAAGGGACCCAGCTGTACTGGAATGTATTCAGCCACCACTCCCACTCTGAGAGTTAGTTTATTTTAGCTACTGTTTTCTACTCTGGGGTTTCATTGTCATTAGTCAGTGGAAATTGCTTGGTTATTCACAGAGTAGAAAATGATAGTATATGCAATTATAATTGTAATTATATATACATACTTTTATGCACACACACAGACTGAAACAAACAGGGATAGACATCCTGACTGATGGGCTGAGTTTTAAGCCCTGCACAGGGAGCAGAAGCTCCTAGTTCTGTTAATGTAGGAGTTGCATGTCTCATTCTGCTCAAGCATAATGATCCTACACTTAGAACCAAGTACACAACAGGAGACAACTGTTGCTCCATATTACTCTGAGTAAAGTTCAATGATATGATTGTCTGGCTTCTGCAATACTGAAGTCAGCTTGAGGCTGCCTGGGGCAGCCATAACGATGCTGCTGGTAAAAATTGGCACTGATCCACCGACTGCAATAGATGTTGTGCCAGTTTACAGCAGCAATAAATTCAACCCAGTCACTTCAACTACTTTTGTAACATAAAAAAAAAAAAAAATATTCTTTGAAGTGCATACTTAAAATATTGAATTTGTTACTTTTTGATAACACTAGCCTTATTCTCCAGTGGTCCTTAACAGTGCAAATGGGGCAACTAAACTTCCTATCAAGAATGGTTTCCCCTGTATGCAGCTCTGCTGTGGCATTTAATGGTACAGTTCCATAAAGTCTCTAAGAAAAATCTGATTACTTTCATGCATTCTAGTTTGAGTCTTTGTAAGTCAGAGAAAACCTCGTTCCCATGACCCACTATTTATCTGTATAGACTCCTGTGTAAATAGAGCTGATGAATTTAAAATAAACTTTTTTTTTTCCCCAAAAGCCATAACAATTCTCCCTCCATTTCAATTCTTTACAGATGAAGAGCTTTTTTCAGGAATGTATATTGATTTCATGGGGACTGATGCAGCCATTTTTCGCAGTCTGACCAGGAGGAATGCAGTGAGGACTGACCAGCACAACTCCAAGTGGCTGAGTGGTGAGATATCTCTAATTTACCAGAGTTTTATTGGTTGTCGCAGAGATTCTGATTTCCTTTGCTTAAAACAAACACCTTATCTTTTAAAGAGCTTGTCTCTGAATTTAATTTATGAAGCTGAACCATGAAGAAATGTGTGTAAATACAAATTGTAGACAATGCACAGATATAGAGGGATCTCTGCGTGAACCAAACACCTAGGCCACCCTACCTGAGGGCCTTTTTTGCATAAAAGCTGAACCAAGCCCTTTGATGGCAAGTGTATGAAAACCTTCCCAATGGCAGCTGGAGACAGTCTGATTTCTAGAAAAGTGCCTTCCCCTGTAATGAATCAGATATTGCCTTAAATCAGTGTTTGATTCCAAGCCACCAGCTTCAGTTGATTAAAGGTGACCAATCTCTGCACAGAAGATTCACCACCACTTGCATTCAAAATGTGTGCAGAGGAGTGCCTCGCTATCAGAAAAGTCAGTGAGGATCATTGCCACTTATTTCAGTGGTGAGAAATTGGTTATCTAACCACAGAAAAGCTCATTTCCGAATGGCATCAAATAACTCTTTGACTCACTGACATCACTGTGATAATTCTCCCTGTCTTTACTGGTAAGAAGACTCCTTCCAATGAAACCAATTTACATTAAAATGGTAGTCAACCCTCTGAGCAGAGGTAGCTGTGAAAAGTTACAGAGCAACTGACACTGTAAAACCTTTTTACAGTTTTAAAAAGCCTTTAGATATGTTGAAGTAAAGTTACTGAGGTTTTGTCTTAATATTTTTTATGGTGACTTATTATTCCTGTCTGGCTGTAACTACAATGAAATCACAAAATTTCATTCATAAATTCATTTTACTATGAAAGGGAAACTACGTCTGCTCTCTAAATTTTTCTTTTTTGTTTGTTATACATTCTTACACTTACCTGTGCACCCTAATACGTGCATCCTAAAATGAATTAGAGAAAAAGAAAATTTTAAAATGCCTAATTTCTGGAAAATCTACCTGTTCAAAACAGGTACTTGAAAGTACAATTTATCTCTATGTTCTTTTAGAGCCAGAGTCATGACATTTGTTATATTAATTGAGAATAGACTTATGTGAACAGAAAAAATGCTGCAGTTCAAATTGAGTTTTCTGTCAGACATTCACCCTTTGTATCAGATTGTTTCAAACTTTGTACTGCACTTAACTCAACAAGCAATCTTGCACGATCATTGAAAAGACAGCCTTCATGCAGGGAGAAGGGCCACTCCTTCCTTCAGTCCAAGGAGGTATTCTGAGGGCTCCTGCCTGTCCATTATTTGTTTGCTGTTAAGGTTATAAATTATTTTGTTCTCTTTCTAATTCTCCTTTGTAGTGTTTTGCGCATACATTTGATTATATTTGCCAACCTCTGATATGAAGTCAAATGCTGCTCGAGCATTTGCCTACCCTCCTTTTCTTTTCTGGGTTATACAAATTGTTTTCCTCTCTTATTTGTGAACCTTATTTGTTATATTCCTAAGCTCTTCCAGGTTACTCTTATGTTTTGTATCAATGAGACTTTCCTTAGGTGCCCCAGAAAACACACTGATTCTTCCTTCTTCCTCAAAGTCTTTGAGTCTCTGCAGTAATCTAATACCATTGCTTCTGGACTGCTCCTCTAAAAATTTGCTGTGAAATAAAGTTTGAGGATGCAAGCACATATGGCTGCCAGCGAGGAGCCATTTACCGCCTGTTGGTATTTGGTATATTTGGCACTTCCATGAAGCAGTCAGTAAATGTCAAATCATTTGTTGCTTATACTGCTACATCTTTTGGTTTCATCCTTTCGGTAAACTTTTTCCTTTCAGAGCCTATTTTTGTGGATGCTCATGTTATCCCAGATGGCACTGACCCCAATGATGCCAAAATCTACTTCTTCTTCAAAGAAAGACTCACAGACAACAGCGGCAGCACAAAGCAAATTCATTCAATGATTGCAAGAGTATGCCCAGTAAGAGCTATTTTGTTTACTAGGTTGCTGGGATAAGCTGCTAGTGTGACATGATAATCTAAAAGACTAAATGTTTGAAAAACCTTTGATTTGACAAAATTTCCTGTTTCTGTGTCGCTGTTCGTAATTAAGAAGAGCAGTTACTGAGCTCACAGCTAGGGTCTGAACAGGTTGTATGTATCTAACTATACGAGTAAGACTATGGAAATGTAGAGGTTCAGGGATTTGTGTATTTCTCTGACCGAGTCAGAATAGTTACCAGGGTTGAGTTTTCAAACTTGCTGTCCCTAGCACAAATAAGACATGCAACAAGACATTGTTTTCTTAATAAAAATGAACTTTAGGCAGTGAAGGCTTTCACACACACACACTCAAAATAGTTAAAACACATCAGAAATATCAAGCTTTTAAATTGGTGGATTTAACTTTCAAATGCTGTTTTCATTTTTACGACATCTGTTCTTTCTGCTTGCTTGCACTGATGCATGCATGAGCCTAACTTTAAAATTGTGCACAGAAAATTTAAATTCAGTGGCTATTGCTGGGGAATAATTAATTTTTTTTCACAGCACTCCTCATTGTCTCTATTTCAGTTTTTTTGTATCTCTAATCAACTGTAGATGAAAAATGATTGAAGCTGCTATTAATATCTCTGGTGAAATCAATTTTTTTTTTTTTTAATGAGACAAAAATTATAAATGCACAATTGCTGGTAGCCTATTCATTCCTTCTTTTGGAAGGCTTCAGGAAGTTCATTGTGAGTGTTTATATATTCCCTGTCTTTAATTTGGGTTTTCTTTAGAATTTGATGCTTTTTGATATTGTTGTGCCTGAGTGTGAAGGTGTTTGTCCTTCACTGGCAATATGCTGAGGCATGTGATCTTTTTTATAATCTCCATTCTCTGTATTTTAGTGAGAATGCCTAAAGGCATTTTGGGTGTTTTGCAAGAAGACGATTCGCACAATTACAGCTGTATTAGGTTTTTTACTGTTATGATGAAGCCCAAATGATTTTTGAAAGGCCTAAGCCTTTTTAGACTTACACTGAAGCCAGTGGCAGAATCCCAAGGCCAATTAAAATAAATCTGAGCCAGACATATTTGTATACATGTATACATACAATATCATCATATTCATGTATTAACACCTTAAAGACTGGCAATATATATTACCCCCTGAAAAGACTCCTTATAAGTCACCCAAAATGTTGGATTACCAGCTCCAACAGCATCAGTGAAACATGCACAGACCTTCATTGAAACCCCATTTCAGTAGCTTCTACATTTTGGTTTTTCTCTTTCCTTGGGTGACATCATGTTATGCAGTTTGGAGGACACTGCTCTTACGTAAGGCATTTACCAGCACAGCTGGTCAAGATCTGTCACCTCAGGGCTGCATCACCTGGTTTGGCACTTACAGTTCCCACCCTGAACCATGGAAAATTGGAAAGATCCATGAGTGAGCTGTGACCCAGCCATCTCTGGACCAAGCTAGCAGGACTTGCAGCAGTGCATAACTGGCTTGACCCACACTAGCCATCATTTCTGAATACTGTTTAGTGCATCCACCTCATGTGCTAGTGTGGCTTCCTGGGTCAGGTGCAGCTATGCTGCTGTCAGGACTAGAAGAAACATCCCTCCATAGAACCATGAGACCTTTTGGAGATAGCGTGGACTTCATCCTGGGGGTCAATGAGTGATGCAGAGCTCCACAGTCACTTCTAGTCATAACAGTATAAACTGCTGATGCTCAAAATCTACTGCCCAACCCTCCTACTCTGCTAGCCCAGCAGAGAAGGTCCACTCAGAAAACTAGTTCTTGGTTTGTTCTGCATATGGAATACTTAGATGAGGGGATTTGGCTTAGGCCTATCTATTTGTAATATTAAATTTACCAGATAATTATCTAGATAATGAATTAACCTGAGAAAAATGTGAGAAAACCCAGTAAAATGTTAGCTGTGTTTTATTTCCCCTTTTCTGAAAATAATATTCCTTTCCAGAATGACACAGGTGGTCAGCGCAGTCTTGTGAACAAGTGGACAACATTCTTGAAAGCAAGACTTGTGTGCTCAGTAATGGATGAAGATGGAACAGAAACGTACTTCGATGAATTAGGTATCACAAAAAACATTCCTTAAAATTTCATCTAAATGCTATGCCTTGAGCATATTTAATGACTGATTTTCATTCAGTTTCTTACTCAAGTTGTTAAGAGTGAAATCATAGCACTAGAAGTCCATGACAACAAAACCAAGAAATTTTATGACAGCAAAACCAAGAAATTTTTCATAAGTGTCTCTGCATAATTATAATGTAATTAAGGTAATTAATCTTGACTATGTAAACCAATGATGGATGTAAAAACTAATACTTGGAAGGAAACATCTAAGTGACTCTCTTACTGTTTTGCTACTAGCTTGGATTACAATAGAGGGTTTTTAACATCCCTTTGAAACTGTTTCTTATAGCACTATGTAACATACAGCTTTTCCATAATGCATTTTTTCTATTTTTTTATCACAAGGTAGAGTCCTCAATTTGGTAATTCAAGATAATGCTAATAAATCCTGTTAGTGGCACCAGCAATAGCACTGTCCATAAATGTTATTTTTCTGGAATCATTCAGTCATATAAATTTTTATTTCAACATGTGAAATACTGTAAATATTCAATGCACAATCTATACAGCATTCACAAGAAGTTTCTTTTCATGAAGGAATTAATAATGCACAGCTTGATACCTAAATGCCAAACAATACTACCAGAAAGTTTCAAATTCTATGTTTTCTGTGGCTGAAATGCACAAAAGCATAGTTCTAAATTATTGTACTTGAAGATTTGGTATGTGCTTTACTATAAATATAAATATTATAAGCAACTAATGTGCCTTGCACTGGGTCTGCATCTGGTTCTGATCTTCTCTCCATTTTATTCTCTCTTTCTTTTCTTGATTATTATTCCTGATTCCCACCATGGCAAATGAGGTTTGGAGGTTTTTTAGGTTTATATGTTTACAACTGTTTGATGTATTTGCTTTAGTTCAAGGTTTCAATGGAACCTGATTGGGCCTAGGAGCAGATCCTAACTTCCCCTAGCTTGGAATGTGCAAGGTGCTTGGAGGACTGGTTTTCTGAACCTTGCAGTGCCTCAGCAGTGCCACAGCAGCTCATCTTTCAGAGCTGTGATTTACCAACCCCCTCCTCTTCAACAAAGCAGTAGGATAACTGCTTTTAGTTTCTTGTATGACAATATGTAGGGCCATGGTGAATAGGAGACAATGCTCTCAGCATGGCTTCCCAGCACAATTCCCTAGCAAAGAGGAAGAATACAGTCACAGCTGGAAATTCAGAAAACAGGGAGAGAGCAAACACATGCTTCTGTGTTCATGTATAATTCAGGAGAATATAACACTTCCAGTTCTGCATGGTGAAGTCTTTTGCTTTTGACATATTGAAAAGAATATTTAAAAAATTCAGCGGGTTAAATGAAAGAGCCACATAAATTAATGGAAAGCTAAAGAGCATATTCTGTGATAAAAAGCTCACACAGTTCAGTCTTTTTTGAGTTGTAAATTAAGTTTAAGTGGTAGCATGATTATAGTTATTAAAAACATTTGTAAGGAGATACTGTCAGAGATTAGTTTTCACTGAAGTGTAAAAAAAAAATCAGCAGATCAGAGGTAATAGTGGGTAAATTAATTTCAGTGAGTAGGTACAGTTTTGCACAGTGCAGTCAATAGATCCCTACACAACAGGAGGCAGGAGTATTACATCTCTCACAGTCTTTACTGCAAAGCTGTCTGACATTCATATCATGTTGAAAATGCTCTAGTGAGGGCACTCCACTCCATTCTGGACAATAAAACACCTAATTTCCCTGGTTTTGATTACGTCCATCTATGGGAACTCTTTGTCTTTAACCTACTGCAACTTTAATGTTTTCCTACTGCTTAACAACCTGCTGAAACAAGATACAGCTGAGAAAAATGTGTGACATAGATCCTGAATGTATTTGCCTTCTGCCTCCATAAGGCTAGAGGGCATGGAGTTAATTTCCAAATTTGTTTCTGAATGTTCAAATGCTAGATTTATGCATATATGATCTTTTCATGTGGTTAAGTCTCCTTTTTCCCATTCAAGTCTGTGATAAAACTACTTTTGAATTTAGAAGGAATAAAATCATCAATTAAACTGGAAAATAAAGTTCTTCTTACTATTCAAAATATTTTTCTTTCTCTTTCTTACAGAGGATGTATTTCTCCTAGAGACAGATAACCCCAGAACAACACTCGTGTATGGAATTTTTACAACATCAAGGTAAACATGGAGATTTGAAAAAAATTACCGGAACTGCCAAAATTTCTGTATGAAAACTGAAACTGGTGTTTTGTGGATGAGGCTGTGCCGGGCAATTTTGTCTGCTGTGCCCATGATGTGCATGCAGGAGTCTCAGTATCATTGCTGTTGGTATCTATGTCAGAGCTGTGCTTCTTGGAGCAAACTGCTTCCTGACGTGCTGTCAGCTGCCACTGGGAAAACATTTCCATGGAGGGCCACTTGTCACTGCTCAGCAGTGGAAAGCTAAATGACTTCAATGCAGTGAACTCATGTGGCATCTGAGAGTACTTAACACCTCCTGAAGAGCATCCAGCACCCTGAAGGATCAAACCAGGATATCTTACATGAATTCATACAAATCATTTCCAGCCTCTCAGCTGGCTGATGATCACAGAGATGGCAAATAAACATATTGCCTTCAGTTGGCTACAAAAGGACAAGCCTGCGTGGCATTTGGTCACCTCCTTGCAGCTCCCTGTTTCCAGTCAGTTGCATTCACTTACTGCCTGGTTTAGAAAGCGTTTACTGAGCTCCCAAGGTGGTGGAAGCACTAGATATGGCTCACTATGCTGAAACTCTCCACAAATATAGACTGACAGGTGGACCAACAGATTCTTTCACCTCCACCTTTATTTTTTTTATTTTTCCTCTTGTCCTCACTGCATAGTGTTAACCCAGAGTAAAATTGTTACGACCTCCTGACTTCTGATATGCTACCCTTTATTATTTAGCTGTTATTTCTTATGTTGAAAGAAGTCTCCTCAGGGATTTTTTTTAAATTTTCATTTATTTGATCAAATTAGAAAATTATGTAATTTATTATTAATAATTCTTCTAATGACAATTTTTAGCAAAAAAATCCTTTCTGTTTTTTTTTTTTTTTCTCCAAAACTTTTTTCACTGGGATATAGGGGTCTGCTTACTCAAATGTGTAAATATGAGAGGGGAATATGATTCTATGATATTTAATTGGGGAAAAAAACCCATTACATAAGTTGTAAACCTAGGCGCTATCTATAATTCTTACATCACAAAAAGAGAAAAGGATGAGCTTACATTTAGTAGTAAAGCTACGCTTATCATTAGGTTGGGGGTGCAACATGACTGAACTGGAAATACTTCTACCTAATTCTGCTACTTGTCAGTGAAAGTAAGGTTTGAATCACAGCAACATATAAGGTGACAAAAAAGAGAAACCTTCATTTTTTCCTGGCTCTCAAGCTATTTGCTCTCTCTACTGAAGTTTTTACACATGCATTGGTCTATTCTTGTTTTATTTTTGTTCAACTCTAGTTGAACAAAATGAATGTTACCTAGTTAAATACAGAAACCATAAGGATTTTTACTCCCTAATACTTCCTGTATCTTCATCTCTGTAGACTTCCAACTTATAACAGTACCAAGAGAGAAACATCACAGGAAGTAATAACTACTAGTATTTTTATCTAAATCATGCAGAAGGAAACCGAGTAATGCTGAGCTAAATTATTTTAGTGTCATAATATGCTGTAAATGTAACATAAAACATCTGGAAAGACTAAATGCATTTCTCAAAATCTATTAATACCTAGTAAAATTTCTACACATACCATAATCCATTGAAAAGGTTCATTCTGCTAATCCATATATTGCTAAGAGCTAAGAGAAATGTGGATTTCACTTTTATTGTTTAGACACTATGTGTAATGTTTTCAGGCTTTTTTCTGGAGTGTTTTTTTCTTCTTCAATTGAAAACAGTTACTTGGATTATCTTCATCCTACAGTTAACACTAGGCAGATTTTAGACTGTCTGGAGTTTCCATTTTTTAAAAATAAATACCACAAACCTTGCATGCAGTGAGAGGAAAAATGAGGGAGTTTAATCACTGTGGTCAGTCTTAATATCAGTCTGGAAATATTTCCCCTAGTGCCCTTCATCATCACGAGGTGATGGAGACCATTCAGGGTTTGTGCTGCCTGGACCTGTGGCTGAATCTAGAGCAGTGGGAAGAACATGGCTTTTTCATAGGTGAATCCCTGGGTTCCCTTCAGGAAGCTTCAAACTTGGGTCTTCATAAGACCAGTTTTATGGATGGATTTGAGAACTGTATAGGAGTAATTCCTTTACAGCCACATCTTGTTCCCAATTTTTGCAAAAAAAGCTGGAAACTGATTATAATAATCCAAACAATTGTAATTGCTCTGGATGTTTTGATTAATGTTTTAGCCATGTATTTTAAGAGCCTCATGGAGATTTTGTGGTTAATATACTGGTAGGAGTTCTGGAAACCTGTGCTGAGCTTGGCAGTATAAAGTTTATAAAACTCCTGCCTCACTGAAGTCAGCAATATTTTTTGCCATTGATTTAACTGGAGCCAGATTATATTTCTTCTATATTTAGGATTAGGAAATCTTCTTATTGCACCAGTAGGGTAGTGCCTGGCTCTCTCTTTTTTCAGTTCACTGTTCAAAAAGGTGCTAAGTCTTAAGAAGTAGTGGTGCATATTGGGCAGCTAGATTAGTTGATTTAAAATGTTTTAAATTCATATAAAAGCAATAAATTGTATAAAATTTAATAATAAATATTATGTTAGAGGTATCTTTCATCATTGGACCATGCAAAATTATGGAAAAGCTGTAAAAAAGTTGGTAGACTGCAATGCTAACTTTCTCTTGTCTTCCAGCTCCATATTTAAAGGCTCAGCCGTGTGTGTGTATCATCTGTCTGACATCCAGACTGTGTTCAATGGACCATTTGCACACAAGGAGGGCCCAAACCACCAGCTGATTCCATATCAGGGCAGAATTCCATACCCACGACCTGGCACCGTAAGTACAAAGATGTTTATTCAGTCTTGCCAACTGCTTGTCTTTGTTTAATGCATAAATAAATGCTATTTATTCCAGGAGAAAAGTCTGTATGTGACTGTGACAGTTACAATTCAGGATGATTTTATTTGCTTTTCGGTTGCCTGTAAATCCAACTGTAAATCAGGTAGTGTCTGGAAGTCTTCTAGAAAGAATTGAAAGTCATGTAAAATGTTAGTTGTTCATTCTCTTTCTGTTTCAAAGGTAATAAGAATTAGTTCATTAAGTGATATTTCCCTCGTTACCATGCACATTTCCATTTTGTGGGTACATTTGAGCAAAATGTAGCTAAACAAACAAGCATGCAAAGACAGCATTGTTAGTGTGTTCCACAGGCTGGATCCAAATGTCTGTAAGTCTGTCTTTTGTCTGTATGAATTTTCTTTAGTTCTCCAGAGTCTTGCACGTCTACTCAGATGCTTAGGAGATGTAGTAGGGGATTTAGAGAACAAGGTTTCTGGGACTTGTCACTTGACTAAGTCATACCATGCCAGGTTCTGAAACTTAGAAGAGAGACCTAGAAATAAAAGCATTTTCTTGCCATTCAGTTCACCACTTTCTTCCTCGTAAGTATGCTTTTTATACACCTTGCTTTCAGGAATTTCTTTCACTGTATCAAGGGTAATCTTCCAATAAATTCTGTACACAATTAGAGCTAGCTGTTTCCAAGTTGTGTAAAAGTATCCTCATGAAATATTTTAAACAAAACTGTTGTTTCTTCTTACTTTCCAACTTCATGACGTATACAAATTGCTGTTAATGCACTTTTTTCTTTCTTTATTTACTTACTTATTTTAACTATTCTTAATTTATATTTAGCAGAAATATAACATCTGATATTTCAAGCTTTAATGGAAAATGTATGAAATTTCTCTAGAATCCATATCTAATCTCTAAATCCATATTTGCTAAATGAAGTATGGTAGTGTGGGTGTATGTTGACTTCTATGAAATCTTACAATTTCTCAAGTACCAGAACAAAATAAATATGCAGAGTATCATAATTTATATTATATAGTTATATTTTTTTTAGATTAACACTTCGGTGCTTTTCCATTCATCACAGGAAATTAAATTTTATTTTAATTTTGCCAGTCCCTGTGAAAACCTTTAACCATATCACTATTTCAGTCTGATTTGTCTTTATGCTGCAAAATCTTGTTCTTTTTCTGTCTTTCTCTCTTGTGCATGGAATAGCTCAGATACATGGAATAGTATGCCTGTTCACACAACTCTTCATGACATTTTAGTGCAGTTGTTGCTGGCTGTAAGAGTCAGGACTTTACATTCCCAGATCTCTAGAATTAACTAATCAATACCTGACATTCCACTAAGGTCTAATGCTAGCATTAGTCTTTTCTTGCAATTAATTATACAGCTCTAATCTCAAGAGTGCACTGAGGCTTTAAAAAAAAGACCCATTTAAACAGAAAGTTTCACACTCTTGTGATTAGTCACATTTCAAAGTTTCTTGCTGCTTCAGAGTGTTCTGTTGTATGTGTTTACTCAACCATTGCCATGTTTTTCTTGGTTCACCTCATGGAGGCTTCTGGGGTATTCCAGATGGGCCTAAAGAAATTGGGCAACACAACAGAAAGGGGGAAAAAATCAGATTTGGATTTAACATGGTGACAGAAATTATGTACACTTTCCAGATATGCCGATGAGCTCTGAATTTGAAGACAAATTCTTAGATTATAGCTCATAGAGATTCCTTTAGATGACCATTGCTTGTTTTTGGATCACTGGCTTTTGTGCTTCCTCATGATTCAGCCACAACACAGTATCCCTAAGTTATATTTTCTAAGATGAATTTCTTTGGCTTTGCTTTTATTTCACTGCCCAAAAAGAAATCCACTTTTCAGTGTGTGCCACAAAGTTTATTTTTCACTTACATCAAAGGATTTGTGAAAATCAGGACATGGGGATTTTTCACTGCTCAGAATTGGTGCTCAAAGAGTTAAAATGATTAGCCAAGTTTGTAGTCTGTGGGGCTTGATCTTCTTTTCTCTGGAATGTACTTTTTTTGTAACTTTTGGGATGCTGGGCTAGACAGGGTGCCTTTTTATATGACATGGAAAATCCTACTTTGCAGTTGCCTAAAGAGATATTCATACTAAACCTCTGGGTAGAAGTGAAAGTTCATCATGTTGCAGTACACTGGATAAACAATGGAAAGGCTTTGGTGTAGCTTCAGTAGGATTAAATGAAGCAATACGTTCTTTTGGCCATGATCAACTCGGCAGTGTTTGGCTGGCCTTCGCTAAATACCAGTGGTTTCTTATTTCTCCACAAGCAAAACTTACTTATGGAAAAAGAAATATGCAGCTTGCTGCTGAACTCAGTGATGTTTGAGGGTAGTTTCCATTTTTCAGAGTTTACAGAAATAGTTTTTGTACCTACAGCATATTGGAGAATATGCTGTAAATTAAAGAATTCTAATAATCAATGTAAATATAAAATTGTGTAGACTAGTTCTTGAAAGAGCTGTGAAGGATGCCCATTCAATCTTTCCAGGAAAGGGAGAGTTTGTATGTTTCTGCAGTATTATCTTCTGCTTGTCACTGGTTTAGCAAAAACATTAATTGATTAAAGATGTTTGTTAAGGCTTTGCTTGGAACAATGATATAATGTAACTTTTTAGGGTCATGCTGCTGTGAATCATAGCACAGACATTTTTGCAAGAAGTCACAGACAAAAGTCTTACGACTCCAAGTCAATAATGGAAGAGTTGAAAGTATCAGAGAAAGACTTCTAATTGAGCTATGTGAGACAGGAAAGTTTAAGTTGAACTGTTTGTGAAACAGAATCCCTCTTGAAAGGAACTGAGGTCTGGCAGAGCACTACCAAGTAGAGTAATCTTGCTAATGATGAATGCAGTTCTTTTTTAAGCATTTATTGCTAATCTTAACAGATAGTTCCATACATTTTCTGGAATGTGGATGAATATGCTGGAGAGGATAGAGCAAGCAAGATAATAAGAATTCGACTTTGTGAGCAATCTTAAAGCATTAACATAGAGCATCATTTCTAATGAGAGCCAAAACAAAATCCTTAGGATAAATATGAGCCCAGAAAAATAAATCAGCAAGGATGTCAGATGCGAGAAACAACCCATGTCTGAGCCGAGTTCTGGTACTTCTTCCTGGAGGGAACTGATGCCAGAGCAATTTCTTTTGAAGAGTTCCTACCAGAGCTATTCTGCTTTGTATAAATAATTAACTCCTAATTGAGCCAGTAGATTACTCTAAAACCTGTGATTAGGCTGAAGTCCCCTCTCTACTTGTTTCCTGGTATGCCCAATGAATAGTTTATTGGGTGCACAATATGGAACAGATTTTAGCAGTGAGGGTAGAACAGGCACTCCTGCCTGTGTACGGGGATGCCCCGGGAGGTGAAAACCCAAATTCTAACACTGCATCTCATCAGGTAGGTTGGACACATGACTCACATATCCCCAGACAGATTCCAAGTCTCTCAGAATATGATCCATTTTATGTAATTTTAGCCATCTAAAAGCAGGGTGTTCAGTCTGAATTACTGACTACAGAGGAAACCTAAGAATAAATGCCTGACTTTAAGAGAGTAGAAGTCAGGTGAGGTAATTTCTCCCTAAGCTACTGGCTATTTTGTGTCTGTGGTTTTGACCAGAAATTCCATCCAAGATGTAAGAATGGCCCTCATCAAAATAAACAAATTTCCATCAAGTGCTTTTTATTGAACAAATCATTTTCCAATTGGAAAAAATACTGTGTTGAAACACTTTAGAATATCTCCAGTGCTCTGAGGAGAGTTTTACAGCTCAGAAATATGGTAAGAGGAAAAAAATGAAAGCTCAGGAGCAGCAACAAGAAGTGAGGTAGTGGTAGCTGAAAAAAAAAAAAAATCAAGTAAATTAAGATAAGTACATCGAGAACTTTGTACCAATTACTGACATAGCTCTGATTTCTTCACAGTCTCCTTTTAGTTTCAAACTCAGTAAAGAGTTGAGTTTTCTAAGATGGTTTTTGTTTTCTCATGAGGCCCAGAATGCCTCAGGGATGATTATTTGGATGGTTCTTCATTATATTTAAAGAAGCATCCAAAGTATTCATGAACTTAGTTGCTTCTAAGGCATAGTGGAATGTATGGACAACCTTTTCAGATATAAATAAGTTGTTATGGGACTCCCCCATCAACTACATACTATTTCTCTTTCAAATGAAGATGAGGCACAGGCCCTTTCATCATCTTATAATCAACAAAACTACAAGAGGGATATTGGCCAAATTGAAATTAAGTATCAGATTTTGTCTTTTGTCTTTGTACTAATTCTGTAAAGAAGTAGATGGATAAGTTTCGTATCTTCCTGTACCAATCTCTTGGATTTTATTTTTTTTTCAACAGGCAGTTTAGAAGCATAAAACATGTAGAAATAGGTTCAGAAGTACAGATCTTTGCCATCAAGTTGAATTTTGAAAGTGCAAAAATACAGTTTGGTTTGTTTTATCAGAAGTGATGGGAGTTCAAAGCATAGTTATTCAACACTTCATTCCCCTTACTGTAATATAGTAAGTTTTGGCCCAAGTCTGAAGCGGTTTTTTTGGGAATTTCCTTTGTCAGCTATCTGTCCATATTTGTAAATGATCTGGAGATGAAAACTCTCTGAAAGATGGTAAGTACTGTTCATCATTACTGTGCGTGTTCCTTGCAGTGTCCGGGAGGAGCCTTCACACCCAATGTGCGGACAACCAAAGAGTTTCCAGACGATGTTGTGACCTTCATTAGGAATCACCCTTTGATGTTTAATCCCATTTACCCCATACACAAGAGACCATTAATCATCCGGATAGGAGCTGACTACAAGTATACCAAGATTGCTGTGGATCGAGTGAATGCTGCTGATGGGAGATACCACGTCTTGTTTCTTGGAACAGGTAGGACAAATTTGGCAGCATTCATTTTCCTCTGTTGCAATCTAATCTGCAATCAACTCTGATTTTTACAATTTATAGCTTTCAGAAATATTTGTTTAATTGTTTGCAATTGACAGAAATGTTATAGTAATCCATGAATCCATGAATCCTCTTCACTTTCTGTGTATTTTTCTTTTTACTGTAGACATTACATGCAAGAGATACAATGTATTGATCTTAATTTTGAGACAAAAAACACCACCGGTATAAATTTTATTGGATCTAAATTATAATACTTCTATTGAATGTGGTTTGTCTGCAGTATGATTCAACATTAGATTTTGATGATCTTTAACACAAGAAAAAAATATCAAAATCTATCTTTATAATTTTTTTATACTCTCTTCATCATTATTTAATATATGCTGTGTAAGCTACTTCTGAAGAAAAGCACGATCTGATCAAGATTTTGCAAAGGCAGAAACAACTCCTCCAGAAAACAGTAGTAATATGGAAGTACTTAGCAGGGAAAAAGAAATAAACGGTTGGAATCCTAGCAGTAGTGGACACAGAGAACTTGATCCAAGTATTCTAAAATAATTTCTGTCCAATGTAACCTCTATTTTTTTCACTTACATCAAATTTGAATCTGATGTTATGTGTCTGAAGTCTGTAGGGAACAGGTTAAGTGATTCTTGTACTGATCAATTTAGATTTTTTAAAATATTCTGATATGAATCATATGAATCACACCCTTTAGATTAAAGCAGACAAGTAGAGTGGTACTCTGACTAGACCCTAGGACTCACTCACATCTGAAACTCCCACTGGTTTAACAGGGCATTAGAGGTCAATAGGCACAAAGGCTAATCTTTTCCTTTTTTTTACTTTCAAGTAGAACAAAGGAAAAGAACTCTAGGAGAACAAATATATGTCTCAACATCAGAAAATGATTACAGAAATGGCTTGCATTTCTTTTATGATTCACATATTATTTGGGCCCTGATTGTTTTTTGATTGTAGAATAACTGTGTCTGCCAACAGACTCACGTGGGACTGGGAATAACCATATTGCTTTATTAGATTTAGGAAGCGGGTGCTAAAAAATCTCTTAAGAATGTCAGGCTTCTATAGGGAAAGGATTAAAAGTAACTCTCTTCACTCTACTTAAAAAAACCTCTTCAACTATCAAAATCAGCAGGGTGCCTATGTGCCAAAGGAGGCCAACTGCACACTGTGCTGTATGTGCAGAAGTGTATTCAACCAACAGGTTGATGGAAAGGATTTTTTTCCTGTATTTGGCTCCTGTTGGAAGTGTTGTGCCCAGCTGTGGGCTCACCAGTACAAAGAAAACATTGACCAAATGGAGCGAGATCAGTTGAGGGACTGTATGATGTGATGTATGAGAAAAAGCTGAGAAAATAGGTTTATTCAGAGAAAGATCTTAATGCTGTTGACAACTATCAAATGGGTGGGTGCAACTGCCTAGTGGGGAAAAAAAACCAGATGGGGATTCTTCTCAAGGTGCTCAGTGCCAAGGTGAGAGATTTCACACAAGCTGCCATGTGGGACAGTGCTAATAGATAAAAAGGAAAAAGGTTTTGCCATCACCATGATCAAACAGTGCAAAAAGGATCCAGAGAGGTTATGAACTCTCCATCTTTAGAGATTCAAAAGGTTCAAAACCCAACAAACACAGCATTGAGCAGCCTGCTCTAATAGGGCTTGCTCTGAGTGTGGGACTGCAGCAGATGTCTCCTACAGGCTACAGGTTTCTGCAGTTCAGTGGAAGGAAAACAAAACCACTTAATTCATGTGAGGTTATGGATGGAGAAAATGAGAAGGTCTAAATCCCAGCAAGAACTCAATCTGGTTACTGCTGTAAAAGGCAATAAAAAAAAATCTATCTATAAATACATCAGCAACAAAAGAGAGTTAAGGAGAATTTCCATCCTTTGCTGGAAACAGTAAAAAGAAATACTTAATGCCTTCTTTGCCTCAGTCTTTAGTAGCAAGACTAATTCTGCAGGCGCCCAGTCGTTGAGTTGGAAGATAGGAATAAGAAGCAGAATGAAGCTTCCATAATCCAAGGAGAAATGGTCAGTGACCTGCTACACCCCTTAGACACACACGAGTCCTTCAGGCTGGATGGGATCCACCCAAGGATTCTGAGGGAGCTGGCAAAGTGCTCTCCAAGCCACTTTCCATCATTTAGCAGCAGTCCTGACTAACCGGGGGGGACTCAGCTGAGTGGAAGTTATGTGATGCCCATCCACAAGAAGGGCCACAAGGAGGATGTGGGGAACTACAGACCTGTCAGTCAGACCTCATGGCTGGGGAAGCTAATGGAGCAGATCACCTTGAGTGCCATCACACGGCATGTGCAGGACAACCAGGGGATCAGACCCAGCCAGCATGGGTTTGTGAAAGGCAGGTCCTGCTTGACCAGCCTGAGCTCCTTCTGTCACTGAGTGACCCACACAGGGGGTGAGGGAAAGGCTCTGGGTGTTGTCTACCTGGACTTTACTGAAGCCTTTGACACCATTTCCCACAGCATTCTCCTGGAGAAACTGACTGATCATGGCCGGGATGGGAGCACTGTTCACTGGGGATAAAACTGGCTGGACAACTGGGCCCAGAGAGTGGAGGGGAATGGAGTTACATCCAGCTTCTACCTGGTCCCAGCTGGTATTCCTTCAATTCTTTCCCAACCTGAACGACTCTATGATTCCGTGTTTTTCCACCAAACTTTCACCCAAGTCTCCATCTGATGCAGAGTGAATGCTTAGTATATGATAAAGCATAGTCAGGGCAATGAATTATTCAAAGAATTTAATAAGTTTTTGATCTGGGTATTTTTGTTTTCTTGGCTGTAAATTGATAAATGAGTTTTAAGGTATTCTTGACTCTCTTCTATCTGCAGCTGTTGGAAAATACTAAATTAACCTAATTAGGATAGGGTTTTCTACAAGGTGGGTTATAACTCTCCTTTTCCTCTCCCCACCACTAACATAAACCCACATTTTCTCTTTAGTTTAATTAATGCAGATACAATTTTTGACTTAGTGAGCTGTTAGGATATGTTTTTCTCCTTTCCTGCAGAAGTCTTTTTCTACTATAGAAATATCGGAAGTGTTGATAGAGAGCATCCCTGCTCTTGTTACACAATTGCATAAGAAAACTTGGTAAAAGAGAAGTTTTCCTTTACTGTTAGTTTTCTTCCTTGACAAATCACTAGATTTACTCAAAGTAATAGATTGGTAGGCTAGTGCAGATCTTTCAAATGAGCATATTTTTTCCCCCCCAAGTATTGTGGTGCCATTGTTTACAAATGCTCTGTAAGCACCTAATGTTATTTGGAGGCAAATTCTACTAAAGCTTAGTGGAAAAGATTGAGGCTTAAGTTCCCAGACTATATAGATTGCTAATGTAGCAGTGATAGTTAAAGCTGGAAAACTGTTGAAAAGCTGAAATGAGCTTGCAATCACAATTTGATAGTAAGCATTTTAATAACTCTTCAAGAGGTAGACATAGGTAATTTCATTTTATCCCTTGATGACCATCTGACTGTTTTTAGGTGATCAATGTGGCCTCATACATGCACATGAGCTGTTAAAAATTAAACATAGCATTAAACATAGGTTGTTCTTATGTTAATCTCCTGTGTGTACCAGCACAGGACCCATTATGGATCAGATACAGAAAGTGCAGCTCTTGATACTTTGTATTCATTGCTTTATCTTCTTCATTACACTGGAGACGAGGATAATTTTCTGCTTTCTAGCCTAGATGGAGGGCAGGCATTATTCTTCCTGAGCAGGGCACAGGACATTAATACCTTCCAAGGTTTTCCTCCAAAGAAATCGTTGCAATGCGAGTTACTGCATTTCTCAGCCCTTTAAAATAAAAGTGATCAAGTTTCGGCCACTGAGAGGAGAAACTTGTTGTCTTTATTCTCTGCTTTCTGTGAGACTCAGGAGGATTTGATAGAGATATTAAGTGTCGAAAGGAATGCAGAGGGGATTTGCTTTGGTGTCAGTTCATCCCAGCAAATGCAAAAACCACATTGTATAGGAGAATTTCATGTGATAATTTCCTTGGGAGCCTGGAGCCCTACAGCCGGAGACAATGGGACTTGACACCTGGTGACAATTACACTCAGCTCAGATGATGAGTTACTGCTGCTGAACTGAGATGTTTCCAGCCATGTCTGTCACTGTCAGTGACCTGTCTCATGCTTGAAATCAGAGTGTTTTATGTCTTGCCAGATGCAAAGCACATAAAATGTTTAGCTTTTCCTCTCTTCCTCCTCTATAGCCTTAGTAATAAATCAGTTCCTGAATGCAAGTGAAGGATAACAGAAGTACAGAGCTCCATCAACCCCAGTGGTTCTTCATGTAGCCGTGGCACAGGAGGGCATAGGCAGCTCTGTAATTTTTTCACCATGGTGGTGAACTAAATGTAGTGTTCCCTTTGCTCCCCCAGACAAAAGTGCTGTGCTCACAGGGCCTGCTCCATACCCAGAGTTAATGCACTGTTTTTTCTCCCTTGCTTACCTGCATAACAAACAAAATAAATCCCAGGGACAGACATAATTCGTGTGGCATTCCATGCTTTTCAAATTATTACAATCTCCTGTTTTTCCTATGCTTTTAACAGGAAGACTCCCAAAGCACTTCCCAAAACGTGCTAGATTTGTTAGGTCTCCCCTAAGGCATCTCTTCACCCCTGACTGGAATGAACTGACTTGGAGTGAGGAGCAAGTCTGGACTGGTAGAGAGCAGTGCTGCAAGAGAAGAGTGCTGTCTACCTACCTTGTCTTCCCAAACAGAAACACAAGAGATAATTTACCTAGAAGGAATATAATCACTCATTTGCATATTTGATGAGAGCAATGCTGATGGTATTTTTTCCCTCTGCAATGAGAAATAACATATTCAGTTCAATAATTTGGGATTAGAGTTCTGTTCAATTATTCCATTTCTGTGATGGGACATGACTCAGTCCTGAGTTTTTTAGAT